TTTTTTTTTTGTAGCAGTTGTGAATGGGATTGCGTTTTGGAATTCTTTTTCAGATAGTTCACTATTGACATATAGAAATGCTACTTATTTTTGCAGGTTGCTTTTGTATCCTGAAACTTTATTGAATTTATTACTTCTGGCAGTTTTTGGTGGAATCTTTAGGGTTTTCTGTGTATAAGATCATGTCATCTTACGCAGACAGGAAATTTGACTTCTTCCCAATTTAGATGCCCTTTGTTTCTTTCTCTTGCCTAATAACTCTGGCTAGGACTTCCAGTACTATGTTGAATAGAAGTAGTGAAAGTGGGTATCCTTGTCTTGTTCCAGATTTTAGAGAAAAAGCTTTCAACATTTCCTCATTCAGTATGTTAGCTGTGGGTCTGTCATACATGGCCTTTATTGTACTGAGGTATGTTCCTTCCATATCTACTTTATTGAGAGTTTCATTTTGTTTGGTCATGAAGGGATATTGAACATTACCAAGTGCTTTTTCTGCATATATAGAAATGATCATATAGTTTTTATCCTTCCTTTGGTTTGTGTGATGTATCACAAAAATTGACTAGCCACATGCAGAAGAAAAAAACTAGATCCCTATCACCATTTACAAAAATAGGCTTAAAATGGATAAAAGCTTTAAGCATAAGACCTGAAACTATGAAACTATTAGAAATAAACATAGGAAAAATGCTTTGACATTGGTCTGAGCAAGGAATTTTTGGATAAGACCTCAAAACATGGGCAGCAAAACAAAAGTAGTCAAATGGGACGACATCAAACTAAAAAGCTTCTGCACAGCAAAGGAAACAATCAACAGATTGAAGAGACAGTGTATAGAATGGGAGAAAATATTTACAAACTATGCATCTGACAAGGGGTTAATATCCAGAATATGTAAGAAACTCAACACTAAAAAAAAACAAAAAAGAATTCCACAAATAATCTGATTTTTAAATGGGCAAAAGAGACAGTTCTCAAAAGAAAGTATAGAAATGGCCAACAGATATATGAAAACATGCTCAACATCACTAAACATGAGGGAAATGCAAACAGAGTATATCTACACAAACCTAGATAGCATAGCCTACCACATACCTAAGTCATATAGGGTGTACCCTATTGCTCCTAGGCTACAAATGGGTATGGCTTGTTACTATATTGAATACTGTAGGCAATTGTAAAACAATGGTAAGTACTTGTATATCTAAACCTAGAAAAAAGAACAGTAAAAATATGGTATGAGAAATGAATAGTATACCTGTAGAGGGCACTCATAATGAATGGCAGTTACTGGCCTAGAAGTTGCCCTAGGTGAGTGAGGGAATGAGTAGTGAGTGAATTGTGAAGGCCTAGGACATTACTGTATACTACTGCAGACTTTATAAACACTATATTAGGCTACACTAAATTTATTTAAAAACTTTTCAATAATAAAATTTAATTTAGCTTACTGCAAGGTTTTTGCTTCCTAAGTGTCCTTTTTTTTCCTTGGAAACAGGGTCTCATTCTGTCACCCAGGCTGGAGTGCAGTGGCATGTTCATGGCTTACTGCAGCCTCGATCTCCTTGGACTCAAGCAAACTTCCTGCCTCAGCCTCCCAAGTAGCTGGAACTACAAGACTATACCTTCATAACCAGCTGATTTTTGTATTTTTTGTAGAGATGGTGTTTCATCATGCTGCTCAGACTGGTCTCAAACTCTTGGGCTCAAGTGATCCAGCTGCCTCAGCCTCTCAAAGTGCTGAGACTAGAGGCGTGAGCCACCACACCCAGCCTAAACTTAACTTTTTGACTCTTATAGCTATACAAAAATATTTTATGTCCTTACAAGCTTTTTATTTTAAAAAGTATTTTTTACTTTTTGGGCTTTTTTGTTAAAAACTAAGACAGTAACTTAACATTTCTCAAAAAAAAAAAAAAAAACAAACAAAAACACTAAGACACAGGTTGGGTGTGATGGCTCATACCTGTAATCCCAGCACTTTGGGAGGCCAAGGCAAGTGGATTGCTTGAGTCTAGTAGTTACCAGCCTGGAGCAACAGGATGAAACCCTGTCTCTTCAAAAAAATTGAAAATTAGCTTGGTGTGGTGGCAAGAGCCTGTAGTCCTAGCTACTTGTGACACTGAGGCAGGAGGAGTGCTTGAGTTCAAGGCTGCAGTGAGCAATGATTCCACCACTGCACTCCAACCGGGGTGACAGAGAAGACCCTGCCTCCAAAAAAAAAGAGACATAAACACACACAAAGAAAATAGCTATAGAATATATACAAAACAGAGTGAAATGAATTTAAATGTTTCACTACAAAACAACTAAACACAAAAGACAGTCATGCAGGAAATGAGGGACAAAAAAGCAGTAAGGCATGTGGAGAACAAATAGCAACATAACAGAAGTTCTTAACAGTAATTACTTTAAATGTAAATAGATTACATTTTCTTTTTCTTTTTTTTTTTAGACAGTCTCACTCTGTCACCCATGCTGGACTGTAGTGGCATGATCTCAGCTAACTGCAACCTCCATATCCTGGGTTCAAGCAATTCTCCCACCTGAACCTCACGAGTAGCTGGGATTATAGGTGCGCCCCACCACCGGCTAATTTTTGTACTTTTAGTAGAGACAGGGGTCTCAACCATGTTGGCTAGGCTGGTCTGGAACTCCTGATGCCAAGTAATCCACCCACCTCAGCCTCCCAAAGTGCTGGGATTACAGGTGTGAGCCACCACGCCCAGCTGGGATTAAACTTTCTAATCAAAAGACAAAGACTGGCAAAATGGATTTTTAAAAATCCACTTTATGCTGTGTACAAAAGACTCATGTTTGATCAAAAGACACAAACAGATTAAAAGTTAAAAGATTAAAAAAA